TCGTACGTATGTTCAATAATGTTGTTATTGGATAGTTAATATGACCATGTGAAGTTTTTTCTGTGATATTTTGCAAACCTGATTACGTAATTTCATGTAAAAAATATCATGGCAAAAAAATTCACATGATCATATGAAATGTCGAATAATGTATTTTATTTTATTCGAATAGCTTTAAGTTTTTTTAAAGTAATTATGATCCTTACGATAGCATTATAAAATTCTGTAAAATGCTTTTATCTATTACCTGAATTTATAAAAATTTTTAGCCAAACGTAAAAACTATTAAAAGCCTAGTAAATTTATTTGTAATTATATCGTGAATATCTAGTAAAAACCTACATCAGTAATTTGATATGAAAATTTTTTTAATTATGCTTATATTATTCTATAATATTAATTAATTCTGCTAAATCTAGAATATTTTACTGCTAACGCAAAAATATGAAATTTTAGCAAAGTACTTAAATGTTTATATATAAAGAATGGAATTTGAAGTAATATTATTCTATTAAATATTATGATTCTATTAAATACAGTTATTTTTGACAAATGTGAAACTATAAATTTTAAGCTTTTTTTATTGAATATATTCTATTATATGTAAAGAGCTCTAAAATCTTTTTTTTCAAATGCTTCAAATGTCACAATCACAGTTAAAGTTGATATTCATAAATTACATGATTTATAAAGCACAATAATACAGTCAACCCTTTCTATAGTCACCTCCTCTATAGTCACAAAATTAATATAATTACAAAATTATTTTTACCAATTATTTATAACTCTTTATAATCACAGTTTTTTGTATCCCGAAGGTGTGACTATAGAGGGGTTGACTGTATATATGCAATTGCTTGCATATATAAATGGTCTTAGCAAGACTAGTCTTATAATATTTTTATAATAATTTATTACTTGACACTTATGAACTGGTTTCTCACAATTGATGTTATATACAGACCGGTATACAAACGCTTCATGATAGCACAGCAACGACAGCAAAAGTAAGGTCCAATTCTTTTGGTCTCGCAATCGTTAACCAATAGTACAACTTACAAGATTTTTGATTTTTAATTATTATTAACTAGATTTAGTCTGAACCAATCTAATTAAAAGCGTATTTATAGCCAGTTTAAACATAATTTATTAATCAAATCTAATTTTATTTTGTTGGTATTATATGTAATTTTTATTATTATAGTTTGGTTATTATCTTGGACATATATAATATTTTGGACATTAATTTTGTTTGTCCATGGACATGGACTGTCCATATCCAATAGATGCCCATGTCTATGTCCATGTCCATTGACATCACTGAGTATTGTGACCTGGGAGAGACTTTATGACTCGACACCAATTTAGCGCAGGGCCACAGACATAAACTTAGGGAGGATGATGCAGTTAGTGTATTCTCTCTTCGTCCACGCGGTTCTCAAATAAGGTTGTCAAGTTATCCAGTATTGGGATATGTGGTCGATCTGAAAGCTTTCTAACCCCACGCGTACAATTCGACTTTTACTAGCGTTTTATTTCCTTGGCTATTATACTTGACTGGAGTATCGTTTAGGTACTTCCACCTAATAAGCACCACAAGGAAATGACACAGCGTTATAAGCACTCAAGATGGTGTTTTCCTAAAACCATATATTAGATTATCGTCTGATACCCAGTGACACGATTTTTTTTTAATAGTGAAAAATTAAAAATCACACGTACATAATCGTATAAATAATATTTTAAAAAATTGATCTAAGTGTCGAATACAGTGTATTACATATTAGCAAAACAAAGAAAATAATAATGAAGGCTTATCAAAGGAAATTTTTACTAACAAAATTTCGCAACAATAGAACACTTATATAAATTAGTAAAAAAAAAAAAAAGGGTGTTTATTCACAATACAATAATGATGTGTTAAATTTTGTTATGTTTTCTGTATAATAGTAACAGATTTTCAGAGGTTACATATTCAACCGTTTTGACCTGTTGAACCGTTTTGACACGGTAACCCGGTTAACTATAACTCGGTTCTAAACTTTAATCAAAATCTAACTCATCTTCTTCATCCTCTATTCTAGTTCTCTTCCTTGAATCCCCATCACCGATACTCTTTTTTTCAACCTTGAACAACTCATTACTCGAATCTGCTACAATGCGAGGTGGGAGTTGTCGAAACTTTGTTGGTGGAATCCTTGCAAAGAAAAAGTCTTTGATCTCTTCTCTTAATTCTTTTTCCAAGATTTTTTTAAACGGTCGAATTTTTGTCCTATGATCTAACCCTGAAATGTTAAAAAATCTAATATGTGGTAATAAGTTTTTTACTACTTTTCTTAGTTTAATAAAATCTTTATTTGTCCACTCCTTTACATCTTCATTTAAGGAAGGCAATTTTCCAATTCCCCATCGAATAACGGCCTCCCAAATTACTATTTCGTCAATTTGAAGGTCGTTACGTTCAACTATGTTAATTAGGAACTGTTCATCTAAGTTGAGAAATTCTGACGAACTAAATATTTGAGTGGATTGCGTGTTGAAAGTATTCTGACAATATTTAGATAGACGGGAGTAAGACGGATGAGTAAATGTGAGATATAGAAGCTTAAGTAAATTAGCGTGAATCCATTCGGTGTCATTGGTAAGAATGTGGATCTGAAGATGGTCGATTAGATCAGTGAGATTCAGGTCGGATGATGCGATTAACATTTCAAAATATATAGATCTCAGTGAAGTGTCATTCAAGTTAATTGTTCCGCTATAGATATAACTACATTTAAACAAATTAATTCGTTTTTAATAAATATTACAACTAAATGATTATTATGAATATATTAGAAGCAAAAAATACGAACTTTAAAATGCATTCAAACACGCGAGGAGAAATATCTGGCAATTTTAATGTAGATACTTGGCCATTATTTGTTTTTAAAGCCGAACGAAAATATGATGACCTTGCTCGTAATATCAAAGAATGTGCGTTGAAACTATTAGTATCAGGATGTCGACCAACATGAATTACTACATTAGAGTAATTTGGATCGTTAAATAAATTTTTTATATCTTTTAATAAAAAGGTTTCTAAATTTAATGACATTTTTTTCTTTAACGAGATGAAGATTGTCGAAGTTTTATAAAAATATCATGAGGCTTGTTGTTTTGATTCGCCAATCAATATTGAACAACAAAGATAATTGAGAGAACCTAGTTGTAAAAACTGGAAAATGTACCCAAGCCTCAATAATAGCGCGTATTTTAATTTACCGTTACGTTTAATATTTGTTTATAACTAACTTAACGTTAATATTTCACTTTCTGATTTGTTCACTCTTGAACTAAAAACCTTAATACAGTCAACTCCCTCTAAGTGCAAGTTCTCTTTTAATGCAAAGAAATAGTCTTGGCCCAAGTTGGGACTTATAAAATAAGTGCAAGTTTTCTTTTAGCCAGCATATATTAAATTATCTTCTCTAATTGCATGATATTTTATTAATCAAATTGATTTATTTAATTACAAGTTTTTTCTAAGTGCGAGTTATTTTTTTTAACTTATTAACTTGCCTTTAGAGGGAATTAATTATATATTTAGTTAGTTTTCTTTAATTGCAAATTCTCTCTAAACGCAAGAAAGCAGCGTTCGAACTTAAATCGACCCCCCAGAATGCAGATAAATGGCGCAGCCGTAGCATAATAATATCCAATCGATGACAAGCCTTAAAGTTATTTAATCAGTACAATTGTTCATGAAGAAGTTTGAGGTTTAAAATTATTGTTCGTACAACACAATACAATTGGCAAATTATCGGCTGTTGCTGCACCATCGATCTGCACTTTTGGGGGCTGCTCTGGTAGATTCTTCGACCTTAGTGTCCTCAGAGTTCTCATGAGAACAATGTTACGAATTTGTGCACGGTATGAATTTTTTTATTGTTCACTATTAAAAATTTTTTATGAACAGCAAAAATAGTGTTTGTTCGTCTATAATAGGTATTTTCTAAGGTTGACCTGATTTATAGTTAGGGTTTACCTGATTTAGAATTAAAAGTTAGTAAAATAACTATTGATAAAATAAGGTGAATCCTTTTAATATAGGTTGTTTATTGTTTTCTTTTTAAGTATAAATAATATCTTGAGAATATCTAGTTATTATAACATTCTTATAAATATGGTAAAATTTGATTACTACTTGAAGCTACAGACATAAATTATCAACTCTTATATGCATTTTTTTTTCCATTTAGGCAGGTTATGCCAGTATCTTTTATTTAATCAAGTCACACTCTATGGAGAATATTTAACATTAAAACTGAGATCTGACATCATGCAGCTACTTCAGAGAAAACTAATTATTAACTGAGCATTTATATACAACTATGCTGTATCAAAGTAATATGATCAATTAAGATAATATTTCTGGAGGCTTGTTTGATTACTACTCTACAATAAAATATCACCAATCTAATAACATCTTTTTATAGAAAAATAAAAAGAAAAAAAAGTTATATATAAAACAAAACAGAAATATAGAAGAAAATAATAAAATATACAATTAAAAAAAAATAAAAAAAAAATATTAATCAAAAAAGAAAAAAAACCAAATAATTATAGTTATTAGTCTGTATTAGGTATTTAAAAATTATATACAACTAAATATAAAGGTCTCTATAACTAACTATATTAACTAATATATCTAAACAAATATATATGTAATTATAAGTTTTTTTGATATTCAAGATAGAGAGATTAGAAAGAATCTGAGTACTAGTAGTCTGAGATATTGTTTATTTTATTGAAATATGTAACTAATATTTTTATAAATCTTCTATTTAGTAATTGTAAATATATATATATATATTTTTTTTAATATCAAAGTGACCTTATAGTCAGTTGCCTTTATTAGTTTATGTACTAAGCTAATTGAGTCAGCTGCTACTCATTTAGTATATGGTTTTGGAAAATACAACTAGCCACATATACAATTTTTAATTGTCTATTTAAGTAGTTCACCCAAAGGTTCTACACTAGATACCATATCTATAATCCAACTAGGAGATTATCTATTTAAACCCTCTACGCTACCATATCCTTATGAGGAATCAATATCTGCTATAGGAAGCTTCCCGATCTAAAGCTAATTTACCCTCAAGGTAAACTTGCTAGAGTTTTCTATATCCACAATTCAGCTAACCTAGACTTCAATAACTTACGCCGAGTCCAAAAACAGCAACTTGTGAGCTGAAGCCGCTACTATTACCTACTTCTGCTCTTGTAAAGTTTACTTAGATCCTAGTATCCACTTTATGGACTATACTATACTTCCCAAATTTTCTAAACTACCAATCCAGATAGCCTAGAAGGGCTGTGATCTGCTCTGGTCCCCACGGTTGGGTCCTTTTCCTCTGGTTACTCTTCTAGCAGCCTGGTTGGTAGAGTGCCTTGCTAAATACTTTGGTTCCGTTCAGTCAATCTGCTTTTCTAACTATAATTCTTTACGTAGTACCATCAAAGATCTGTACTATCTCTTTACTCGAGTCTTGCCAAGTGGGCATCCAATCTTTCTAGTTTCTTAGATTTACTACGATCTGAGAACTTTTTCGTATAATTCATATATTGCACAAATGCTCTATGATCTTCTAATCTTGTTGCTGCTACCAAGGTTACAGAGATTCTGTTCCAACCGATTGACAGAAGATAGTAGTATCGTACAGATAGAATTTAGATCGGAAG